ACTCATGCGTTCCAGCAGACTGCATCGCCAGCATTTTCTGGATCTTGTTTCGTGGCATCGCATCGCATCGCACCACGTCTTCACTGAGCCACGTGAGCTAGTCAACACTTCAGTACAAAACAGCCTTTGTGGACGGTCATTTAACCCAGCTGTGGGCTAGTGGAAGTGCAGTGCTCACACTGAAGGTAGGCTAGGCTACGCAATGACGTTTGGCGGATTGTACTGTGTCTTCAAGAAGCACCTATATTCCCCTCCCACCGGCTGGTGGGCTCTGATAAACCACCAGCAGGCTAGGTTCTGGCAAAGCAGTTTCTTCCGAGAGCAGTCCTGAAGAGAAACAGAATGCTCTGGCATATTTCAAAATATTTACTTTTCCCATCCCCCTGCCGGAAGCAGGAGGGAATTCTCTGATACTCACTGTGAGAACCAGGTCAAGCTCCTAGAGGTCAAATTCTCAAAAAATGTGGAGACCCTGCTATGGCTGGGCTGCTCCGGCGTTTTTGGCTCTCCAACTTGTCCACACTGAGCCTCTAGGACTCCTGAGCTAGGACTTCCTACCAGGGCTCCGGTTCTGCAGGGTGTCTACTCACCCCGGCTCCAGTACATCACAACCCTCGCTACTGTCCTCTTGATCTCTCCAAGTTGAGCAGCAATGGTTTGCCCCATGACCTCATTTCTTTCGCAAACCCAAGAAGAACTGTTGATTTTTTCAACTTATTCAGGTTTCTTTTGCTTGCTTGTTTGCTTTTGGGAGGAGCAGAGACTTGTAAGCTCCTTACACACTGGACTAGAAAGGAGAAGTCTGTCAAGTCTATTTTGTGGTTTTCCAGGATTTCTTCTATAACTTTCATATGCAGCAGGCTCTTCAGGGCTTTTGCTAAAATGAGTTCAATGTCCCTGGTAATAGCTGCTATTTATAAACACGTCCTAACCAGCAGGCACTATTTTATGTGTGTTACATACGCAATGTCATCTAAACCTCACAAGGACTCACACCAAGTACACTGAACTCCCATTTTGTAGACAAGGAAGCTGACACACTAAGGGCTCAAGTGTCCTCCCCAAAGGGGCACAGCTGGGGGAAACCAGAACTCAGCCTCACAATGTTCCCCCCACAAGTTCCGAGCTACTACCCTCTGCTACCCGGCCAACTCCTAAAGAGCCCGCTCACATTCGGACCGGATTTAGCCATGAGGAAGAATTCAAATGGTCCAACATCTGACCTCATTCTAGCATAGTCCTCATTAGTCCACATTCAGTCCAGATTAGTCCTCATTCTAACCATTGTGGAAATACTGTATGATATTTCAATTTACCACTCATACATCTGGAATCACTGGACACGATTTGAGTAGGCATCTCCTGCAGATAATCACAAGAATTCTCTTTTCCTGTAGTTTATGTGGAAACTACTGTAGTTGGAAAACATAATCCCAGAAACCCAAGAAGTTCTCCCTCAACCCATCTCAGATACTCCACATTGGCTAAAATGAATCTAGTACTGGAACAAGACTCCCAGGCTCCTGTAAAGAGAAACAGGCATGCTAACTTCCGTGTTGGTGGCAGGGGCCCAAACACTCAGGCCATCTTCTGCTGCCTTCCAGGCACATCAACAAGCATCTGGATCAGAAGCAGAGCAGCCAGGACTAGGACTGACATGCCAATATGGGATGTAACTGTCTCAACTGGCAGCTCAACCTGCTGCGCCACAGTGTCAGCCCCTGTACCTGATTTTTTTTTTTTTTTTAAGATTTTGTTTTTTTACTTGAGAGGTAGAGTTACAGACAGTGAGAGGGAGACAGAGAGAAAGGTCTTCCATCCACTGGTTCATTCCTCAAATGGCTGAAACCACCAGACCTGAGCTGACCAGGTCTCTCATTGGGTGCAGGGGCCCAAGCACTTGGGCCATCTTTCTACTGCTTCCCCAGGCCTTCGCAGAGAGCTGGATAAGAAGAGGAGCAGCCAGGACTAGAACCGATACCCATATGGGATGGGCAGGTGGAGGATTAACCTACTGGGCCACAGCACTGGCCCCTATACCTGATCTTGATCCTTCCAGCCTCAGAACTGTGAATAAAAAATTTCTGTTGCTTATAAATGACCTAGTCTAGGGTGTTCTGCTAAAGCAGCCCAAACACACTAAGACAGCAGGTTCAGAACACATGGACGGGCTGGCATCATGGCAGTTTGGGTTAAGCCACTACCTGCAATGCCAACATCTTATTTAGGCACTGGTTCATGTCTTAGGTGCACTACTTCTGATCCAGCTCCCTGCTAATGTGTCAGGGAAGGCAGCAGAGGATGGCCCAGATCCTTGGGACCCTGTACATGGATGGAGCTCCTGGCTCCAGGCTTTGGGCTGGCCCAGCCCTGGCCGTTGAGGCCATCTGGGGAATGAACCAGCAAGTAGAAGATCTCTCTCTCCCTCTCTTTCTAACTCTGCCTTTCAATAAATAAATCTTTTAAATAAAGAAGAAGAAAAAACACGTGGACAACAAGGGCAGAGCTATGTAGATATCAAACTACAGACTCACTTCTAACCACTACATTTATCAATCCAGTGAATGGTCTATGGTGATTAGTCAACACCAGGAGGGTTTACACCATCAGGTAAGATACATGCCCCCATCTCACCCTCCAGAAGGTTGAGGAAAGAATCCTCTATTGTAGTTAAATTTATCCCAAGAGAAAACAGAGCTCCCAAAAGCACAGACAATACACGTGGGGGCTTCCCCCACTCAACACAACCACTTGTATCCCTTAATGTTTCACTGTAGCATATTGTTTAGGTCTTTAAAACACAAGTACTGAGCTCTTTTGGCTTAATAAATTAATGGATCACAAATTCCTAGTGGGTCATGAACAAAGTTCTTAAATATATTTTTGGTACAGCACTGATTTTTCTTTCATTTTCATTCATTCATCGTTCCTCTCACTGCCATCTGCTCCAGACTCGTGCTAGTACAGGCGTCAGACTGAGTGCCTGTAACGGCAGCACAGTTCGCTAAGTCTAACCCTGAGGGTGAAGACACTGCTCTCAGAGCCCAGAGAAGAGGACAAGTCCCCCAAGGCCAGTGTTTCTCCAGCAGAACCAAGCCCAAGGCTGGCTGAAACCGCTGGCCTGGTCTAGTTAGACTCTTTCTTTCTTGAAATTGGTATTTCATCACTTCTGCAGGTTTCTAACAGGTATGTAGACTCGGCATGCCATTGGCCTTAGATTATTTTCAGGGAAGATTACATGCCAAACTCGGTATACTACGGCAGGATCAGAACGTGGGCCTTCCAGCCTGACACACTCTGAAACACGTTCCAGGAAGGGCACATTTGATCAGGGGCTTTGGGGACTGCCATGCAGATGATGCACTGAACAGACCTAAGGGACACGAGTCCTTACACAGGCGCTGTAGAAATGTATATTCAACACGCCAGTGAAGGGAGCAAATAGTCCGCCTGTCACTACAGCAGTGTGTTAGGACACTTTCTGATAGACTGAAGTAAATACTGAGGAGGCGACATCTTTTTTCCTGTCTCATCCGAGGGTGCCTCATGGGCTACTGGCTTGACCTGAAAAAATGATTTTTGGAGAGAGACAGAGGAAGAAATCAAGCTAGAGAGCGTGCCCCCATCTGCGTGTCCTCTTCTCGGTTGTCTGCAGTGGCCCCTGGCTGGGGCAGAAGCTGGGAGCTGGGAACTCAATCCAGGGTCTCCATGTGGGTGACAGGAGTCCAATCATGTGAGCCATTACTGCTGCTTCCCAGGCTGCACCAGCAGGAAGCTGGAGTCAGGAACGCAGCTGGGACTCAAACCCAGCCATTCCGATGCGGGCAGCGGCATCTCTCCCACCAGGCCAAACATCTGCTCCTGCCCTGTGTTCCCCCCAGACACCACCCTTGCCCCTGCCAGGACAGAGAGAGGAGGGGAGATGGGGCTCTCCTCTGTCCCAGTTCACTTCTCCTTCAGAATGGCCCCATACCATCCCTAGGATAAACAACAGCCCCGCAGGACCAGGAGAGGTGGTCAAAGAACAGGCAGGACGACTTTCCCCAGCCACTGTCCCGAGTGTCCTTCCTCAAGGTCAGGGTCCTTGGGGCCCTGGCTCCTTTCCTCAAGTCCCTCTTCTGTGACTTCCCTCCCCTCTGTTTCCCTCCAGCAGCAGCCCAGGTGGAACACCTCAACCAGACAACACGGTGCTAGATCCCGAAGTCTGAGAATGGGCCGGCCTCGCTCATCGTGTCCACCTGACCTTCCAGGGCAGCGAGTGGCTTTAGGCAGACACAATAAAGGCCATGACTGAGCAAAGTGAATGGATACAATGATTAGGCAAAATCTATTTTTTTTTAAATGACCAGCAGATCTCATTCATCCCTGACTTCACTGGATTCACAGACTAAGTAAACCAGAGGGCAACTGGCTCTCACGCAGGCCAGCCCATTCCCTCTGCTCTGCTGCCTGCCTTTTCTCAAGAAAGGATGAGAGGGGACAGGTTGCCAGAAGGGATTTCACTTTAAAGAACCAGCAGGGGGCAGGCACAACTGGTGCAGTGAGCGAGGCATCTATATCAGAGTGCAGGGTTTCAGTCCCACATTGCTCTGCTTCTCATCCAACTCCCTGCTAAGGTGCCTGGGAAGGCAGCAGAGGAAAGCCCAAGTACTTGGGCCCCTGTGACCCACATGGGAGACCTGGATGGAGCTGTGGGCTCCTGGCTTCCGCCAGGACCAGCCCCAGCTCTCTCTCTCTAGTGAACCAGCAATAGAGGATTGATCGATCTCTCTCTCTCCTTCCGCCCTACTCTGTGTCACTCTGCCTTTCAAATAAATAAATCAATCTAAAAATAAATGAAACTTAAAAATGAATGATCAGGGTTAAGCAGTTTGCTTTAAAAGAGAAAGATAAACATGTAATTTAAAGAATTCAAGAAGCAGCTATTTTTTTTTATAAAACATTGTAAAAGTAAAAAAAAAAAAGTAGGAGTCAAATTACAACTAGAACCAAGTGGCCTCTGCAGGGGGTCATCTGCGAAGCTCCTGAAATAGATCCTCACTGAAGGAGCTCTCTTACCTTGTAATTATCCATGATCTCACTTAGCCACGGCTTCACGGACTTGACTGTGTCCTCGCGCAAGTACTTCTCCACTTCCTCTCCGTCGTTGAAAGTGTGGTTTCCCACGTGGATGGCTTGTTTCACTTCCGGAGCGACAAAAACTTTGCATAGTAATTTAGTTCCTCAGGTTCCTGGCCAAAGGGTGCATCAGAAAGACGTGAGGGGCCGTGACTGGGTGGCAGCACCAGCAGGCTGGGAAAGCTGTGCGTTTCTCCCAGCGGGTGACACAGTGAACAAACACAGACTTTCCCCACTCTGGAAATTTTCACTTGGGAATATGAGGGTAACTTTTTAAAAGATTTACTTTATGTATTTGAAAGGCAAAATGATGGAGGGAGAGAATGAGAGATAGAGACAGAAAAAGATCTTCCATCCACTGGTCCACTCCCTGGATGACCACAATGGCTGTGGATGGTCCAGGCAGAAGCCAGGAAACCTGGAGCTCCATCTGGGTCTCTCACGTCAGTGGCGGGGACCCAAATACTTGGGCCATCATCAGCTGCTTTCCCATGCAGGGGAGCTGGATTCAAAGCAGGGCAGCCAGGACTCACACCTGAGCTCACATGGGATGCCAGCTTACTAATGACAAATGTGGATGATCCGATCCTACTGGAGCCAATACCCACTTGCAAACGCTGGATTTTCCTTTCAGAAATTTATCTTTTGCATCTGTGCCTCCAATGAGCTACTGTGTTGGAGGCAAAGACATGGAAAATGAATGAGGTGAGAGCATCCAAATCAAGTTTCTCCTTGTGGAGTTTCCATGGAAGGAAGGACAAGTGGGTCTCATGGGGCTGAGGTGGTGGGTGGTGAAGTAGAAGCTGAGATTTCTTTCCCATGTTCTCCTCTGTATCAAAACCACACTAAAAAAACTGTGCTGACTATAATTTAAGGGGGAAATCAATCTAAGGTAAAAACAGATATTTAATGAAGAACACAAGACAAAGGAAAACTTGTCCGTGAGCCATATTAAGAAAGAAAACACTGCCTAAAAGTCTCTGTAACAGAGGCTGGTGCTGTGGCATGGTAGGCTAACCCTCTGCTTGTGGCACTGGCACTCCATATGGGTACCAGTTCAGGGGTGCTGGCTTGTATCCTGGCTCCTCCACTTCTGATCTAGCTCTCTGTTATGGCCTGGGAAAGCAGAAGATGGCCAAGTCCTTGGGCCCCCTGTACCCGTGTGGGAGACCCGGAAAAAGCTCCTGGCTCCTGGTTTCAAATGGGCCCAGCTCTAGCCATTGCATCCATCTGAGGAGTAAATCAGCGGAAGGAAGACCTTTCTCTCTGTCTCTAACTCTACCTCTCAAATAAATAAAAATCTGTAAAAAAAAAAAAAAAAAGTCAACTCTGTTATAAACACAATACTCAAAGAAAAGAAGAGGAAATACCTTCACACACACACACACACACCTTACAAAACTCTTAGGGCATGACAAGCTGTGCTTCATCTACAATTTTTTATAACTGTGAGTATGTTAAAATTTAAAATTTATAAAAAAATATATATATATGTAATCAAAAATTCTGCTTCTCTCTTGCCTCATGTTTTTTCTTGGTAGAATCAAAACCCAAAACCACAGGGCTGGCAAATTCCACCAAAATGAACTTTATATTTACAAAAGAGTTCATAAATAAGGCAATTTTAAAGACCACACACATCATCATATGCATTACACAAATCCAAACTTCCACTCTAGCTCCCTTCTCTTATTTGATTAATTCTACCCAAGAACATCAACTTTGGCCCACGTTTATGAAACAACTACTTGAATAGTCTAAGAATACTCCAGAGGGGTTGGAGTGAGGGCCTCACTAATGAACTAAACATCTTAAGTTAAAAAGTAAGACAAGGCAAATATTTTCATAAAGGCTTTGGCAGTTTTGATTATCCTAGTTGCTTTAAGTATGGAAAAAGAATGTGGCCATTTTCAAGAGACTCATAAAAAGGCTTGAAACCCTGAGGACCTGACACCCAGAACGCCAACCCCAGCCTGTACCCTTCACAAAAGCAGCCCTGTATAACAAGCTCTACTTGGAGGGGGAGGCTGTGCTGAGCAGAATCGTTGGGAGTTATTTGAAATATCACACATCTGCAATGGTCAGATTCTAATACATACAGCAGTGGTGGGAGGCCCCATGGAATAGCAGACCAAACAATGCAATACAGCTTGGACATATCTGAATAGTAGAAAGTCATTCAGAATACTTCCCAACTCGGGTGAAGTTTGGTTTTGCCAAAAGCTTTAATCAAATATTATTATGGTTTTTAAAATGCTATTTTACTTTATGTTTGTTGAATTCTTTATTTAGGCATTACTTAACTACTATGTAAATTTAAATGCTATCTCAAAAATAAAAAACAATTAAGTTGAAAAAAAATGTTTAAGTGTGGTTACCGTGCACTGTAAAAAGTTGTAGTAATTAACACATCCTGTAACGTTCTGGAAGTAGGAAGCCTCGTTGGTTAAGTCGCCATCGAGTAGCTTATCCAGTATCTAGGTCAGGAGACAGGAAAGGGAGAAGGAAAAACATCAGGCTGAGTGACAACGTACGGGCTGTGTCACTTCATTCCTTCAATAACTCCCTCACTCGTCAAGGTTCCATTTAACAGGCACTGGCTGCACATCCTCTGGGCTACACAGTGGCCTAGGCATAGGGGAAATCGCCGTGAACCAGACCGGCCCGGAAGTCCTCTGTCGCAAGCTTACAGGGTACAATAAATGAGCATCACCAGGTGAAATGTATAGGCTGTGAGAGTGAAGGCGGCTACAGAGCAGGAAGTGTGGAGTGCATGTGTGCACGCGTGCATGGACCCTGCAGGGAGGAGGCTCTCACTTAGAGCATGTGCAAGAATTAAGACGTGTTAGGAGAGGCACATCCCAGGCAGCGCCCACAGCCAGCCCGGAGGCCTCCACAGTGGCCCTGAGCCCGGCAGGAAGAGCTGCCTTAGTGTGGGTCGTGGACTGCTCACCCACAGCAGGAGACAGAGGACATAGGCCCAGACCCAAGAGCCGGGAGCTGGTGGGGTCCACTTTGGACTGTTAGATTCAGAAGGCCCCATGAGCAGCTGCGAGGGGAGCAGTGGGCAATTCGGGTGCTTTCCTCTAGCCACCGTTAGCTGCGAGGAGGCAGGTGGGGTGGCACACACAGATGCAGCCAGGGCTGGGCTTTAACCAAGGGTGTGGAGGACCTTGAGAGGGGCTTGGGGCTTGGGGATGTATGTAAGGGCTGACCTTGGCTTTTGGGTGGATAACTAGAGAAATGCAGCCTTCAAGAGGTCCTGAAGAGGCTCTGGGATCAGCGGGTTGTGGGCCTGTTAGGGTTGGTACAAGTGACCTGGAAGGACGCATGGTGGTAGCTGGAGAAAGGTGTTTGAATGTGAGGCTGTGGAGTGGCTGCTGGAGTGTTTTTGTTTTTGTTTTCTGTCTTGTTTTGGGTTTTTGGTAGCAAGAATGAGCAGCTAAGGAGGATGAGATTGTACAAGAGGCCGCCAAGGCATTGAGAGACGAGTATTAAAGTGGTCACCAGCGTGGACACTGCGGTCATCAACAACGATGACAGAAGTGATGCTGGAGAGTGACAGTGGGGCAGGAGCTAAGCGATTCGGAGGACAAGGAGGAGAGACCAGGGCGTGGCGCACACTACAGTAGGAGCCCTCCTTCCGCCCCCTGCCCCCACCCCGCCCAGAACAGGAAAGCAAAGCTCAGTGCTTGAGGCAGTGGCAGGAACTGTGATCTGGAAGCCGCAATGGGGGCATCTGCTCTTCCTGTGAACCTAGCGGCACAAAGAAGGTGGGCGGGGGACAGCCGCCCTGCAGCCCACTGCAGTGTCCTCAGGGGAGAGCCAGGTCTGGGTAAAGCGAGGTGAGGCAGAAGGGAGGAATCGCAGAACAGAGTGTGGACATGGGGGGTTTGTTGACACATTAAGTTGTAAGCAGGCAGGACAAGGTCCTTGTGAAATCATTTTAAGAAATGAGTTTAGCAGATTTTGAAAATAGTCCATCAAACATGAACTTGGGTTTCTTATAAGAGACAGTGTTACCCTAATTTTACAGAAACACACAGAGGTTGCTAAGGACATTCCCCTAACAATGCCAGAGGTGAGACAGAGCCCCAGCCTGCACACTCAGCCACACCCTTACCGGCTGCCCCAGCAGACAGATTGCAGTGTATCCTGGCCCTCAGTACTTTCTGCCCAGGCTTTGGATTTACCATAACACCTCGCTATTTAAATATGTTTCTTCATCAAACATGAAGGAACTTGACTTATATTAACATTGGTCCAGGATCAAGGAGCACATATGGCAAAGAACATCACTGGGGAAAGGGGTGGTGGTGGCGGAGACAATTACTATTCTTCCACAATGCCACCAGTCCTCAGAGTCCCCTCACCTGGTTATGAATGCTGTGCACAACACGGGGCTGCTTCTAAAGGAATGACCACCATCGATGGTGAACCCTGAACCCAGAGGACTGTGACAGCCCAGCGGCTGTCCTGAAGGCACGTCGCTCTCAGAGCTCATCTTTAGAACTATGTTCAACACCAATGGGAGGGTGAGTGATGTCAACCTTTACAGAGGGATTTGCTTTCAAAAAGAGTTACAACTCATTTGCCGCACAACAGATAAGGACGGGGGAAAAGACTCAGGAAATCCAATTTCTGCTCCAAACTTGTTTCACAAGGAGAGAATTTTGTGAGCCTGGAAATTCACTGCACCCCACCTGGGCCCCTGCAGCCTCATCTGTAAAATGTGTATGTATGACCATGTACGTGTTTGTGTGTCTGACTGTATGCATGTCTCTGGGTGCCCATGTACACATCTGTGTGTCCACTGTGTTATGTGCATTTCTGTGTGTGTGACCATGTTCCTGTGTGTATCTGGCTAAGTGCATGTGTTTGTCCATATGCTTGTATGTGTGACTGTGTATATCTATGTGTGTCCATGTGTGTGATCATGTGCATATCTGTGTGTGTAAAGGGGTAGTGTATGATCTATCTCTAAAGCCCCTCCAGCTGGTCTTTGATTAACTAAACCGTTTTAAAGAATCAGAGCAAACAGGCTTTATCATTTAGGCTGGAAATTATGACAGTGTATGCTCTTGTTTTCAGAATTTCTTGGAGTCTCCCATTGCCTTCACTGAAATACATTTCAACCACCAGTAGTTTACTGCCCTGAGTATCATCTGTCTACTTGTCTTGGACAAGCAAACACCTTTATGTTTTCAGTCTTCATGGAAGACCCTGGGACAATGGTCAAACAGGTCTTCCATACCTTCAAGGGTTATTTTTGCTTTTGTTTTTTTTCTTGACAAATGTAGTTTGGGACTATATAGCCTCCTATGCCACCGTCTTCTTATCTCTGAGGACACAGAATACTTGGGAGTTCCACCACTCAGCTTACTCCAGCACCCGCCACGGTCTTCTCCCTGCTTTCCTAATGCCTCTGGGCCTCTCAAATATCCCCGTGTGCTTCTTTAAAGACATATCAAGTGTCTCTCTTGCAAACTGGTCTAACATCACATACAATTTGATGTGGTTTTTTAAGATTTTATTTATTATTTATTTGAGAGGTAGAGTTACAGACAGAGGGAGAGAGAGAGAGGTTTTCCATCTGCTGGTTCACTCCCCAAATAGCCACAACTGCTAGAGCTGGGCCCATCTGAAGCCAGGAGCCAGGAGCTTCTTTCGGGTCTCCCATGTGGGGGTAGGGGGCCAAGGATTTGGTCCATCTTCTACTGCTTTCCCAGGCCATAGCAGAGAGCTGGATCGGATGGAGCAGCTGGGACTAGAACCTGCGCCCATATGGGATGCTGCTGCTGCAGATGAAGGATTAACCTACCGCGCCACAGTGCCAGCCCCTGCTATTATTTCTAAAAGTTCATTTCTTTTCCCCTTTTCTGACCACTGCAGCAGACAGCCTGAAAACAGTCTTGAAAGCACTGTCATGGCAAGTTGAAGCATGATTCTCCGTGTCTCCAAGATCTCTCTTCCTTTGGGTTACAACTACGCAAGAAATCCTGAAGCCACACCTGCTATCCCTGTACCAACAAAGGACAGCTCCTGAGTGCCCTGCGGGACAGCTTGGATTTCCCTCTCTTGATCCACCTGCGCAGCTTGCCACGGTCAGAATGCAGAGCAAGGGCAGTCACTGGCTTAGGAGACTTCGGGGTGGGGGGTTGGGGGCTGCCTCCTGTTGTGAAGTAGAGGATAAATTTGTGCCACCCCTTCTTTTCCCCAGATTTGCATGTCTCCTGTCTCGATAGGAACCTACCATTCAGCAATGCCCAGAATATAGTTAATATCAGACTCCTACCTCAATAACAAAAAGACGCCAGGGGTATTGCTACAATGTGTATGACTAACAACAGCCAGATTACAGTCCTCAAAATCCAACCTTTGCCTCATTTATGATGTGTCAAACATAAACATGGCAAAAATACCTAAGGGGGCCAGCATTGCAGTATAGGGGGTTAAGCTGCAACCTGCGATGCTGGTATCCCATATGGGAATGCCATATTTTCAATCCAGCTCCCTGCTAATGCACCTGAAAAGGCAGTAGAAGATGGCCCAATTGCTTGGTCTCCTGCCACACACATGGGAGAGTCAGATGATATCCCAGGCCCCTGGCTTTGGCCTGGCCCAGCGCCCTGCCATTGACATCATTTAGGAAGTGAACCAGTTGCATGGAAGATTTCTCTCTCTGCTTCTCCTTCTCAGTGAACTCTGCCTTTCAAATAAATCAATAAACCCTTAAGAAAAAAAAAAAAAAAGACCTAAGAGTGATTGTTCACACATGGCCTTTGCACTGGCAGAAAAAAAAATACCCAGCTTCCTGTATCATAATATTTAATGCATGCTTCCACTTGAAATAACCAAAGAAGAAAACAAAAGGGTGAAGAACTTGACCATATTATCAGATTCTCAAATTTAATTTTAGGGGAGTACTGTAACAATATCCACAAATTCCACTGGCCCTTTGTAGAAGTTTCAAATTACTGCCCTTGGTAGTCTTTGTTCCTGACACACAGGAACACGTGACGTTTGTTAAACACTGCAGCCACTTCTCCAGCGGAAACCCTGTGCGTGGCTATGCCCCCGTGGACGGCTGAGAGCGCGCGTGGAAGCACACATGCGTACATCCTTGGGAGCCTTTCCTCAGACTGCCATAGGATGGGGAGGCCTCTAGGTGCCAAGCAGCATTCCAAGACACTGAAACAGCTGACGAAAGACACAGGTAAACTGCGAGACCATCTTAGGTGTGCAACACAGGCAACTCCTGTGTTTGCTGTGAGCCCTGAGCCTGCCCCTCTCAGACAGCAGGGCAGCGCGCTCTCCTCTAACAAGCACTGCCCCCAGCTGCCTGGGGCTGCTGCCGCCCCCTCCTCAACTCAGCTGGTTCTCATTGCTCGGGAGTAACACAGGGCCCCAGAACTCACTTCAAAGGCCTGCAGCCAGTTCCCCTTCTTGATGTGTATTATGCACTCATCACACTCCTTCTGGAAGTGCTTTCTCTGCTTCTCATCCAGTATGCCGATTTGGTACAGGAATGCTGCATAGCCACCTATAATCTGAGGACAAAAGAGACGCACGTCAGAGCCGCAGACCCGGAGCAGGACAGAAGTGACGGGAGCCTGTTTGCTTGATGGAGTAACCCTCTTTAATTGTCACTCTTGTGTTGGCATCAGCTGTGTAAGGCAATTACAGGCACACATACACAACGCATACACACATCTCACAAAACCTAACACACACATGCACATACTTGCACTAAATGCCAACATGGGCTGACATACTAAGTTGACATGTTGAAGCACTGACTAAAAGCTAGAAGATTTAAGTCATAAATTTAATTAGTGTTTCCCTTTCTCAAGGTAGGCCTCAGAGAGGAGCCTTCCATCTGATTAAGGGGCACTTAGCTTCCATACAGGACAATATGGAAAGAAAAATCAAAACACGTACTGATTCAGGATCACAATATGCATCTCCAAGAGCGATTCCCTTCAGGTTGAACTTGGACACCCTCACGGGGTTGAGAGTGTGGATGTAGTACGCGATGGCCGGCACATACTTCCCTGCATACGACTGAGAAGGACAGAGTTGGAACAAACCATCACAAATCCACGCTAGTACAATGCTACACACTGAAGCTCATCAAAATAACAATACAGACAGGCATTTGGTCTAGGGAAGCACCTAGGTTCAAGTCCCGACTCCACTCCGGATTCCCGCTTCCTGCTTATGCATACCCTGGGAGGCAGCAGTCAGGTCCTGGACACTCCCATGGGAGACCTGGACTGAATGCCAAGTTCCAGCTTTGCCCTGGCTCAGCCCCACCACTGTGAGCATTTGGGGAGTGAACCAGCGGATGGGAGCTTTCTATATGCCTGTATCTGTCTCTGCCTCTGTCTCTCAAAAAAAAAAAAAAAAAAAAAAAGAGTTCTACCTTGTATGGTACCCTCCATAATCTAAATTCCTTCCAAGTTATGATAAAAATATAATTTAGACAAGATCTCTTCATGGACGCAGCTCTCTCTTGTACAGTAATAATCACTTAGGAAAGGCACTGAATCAAAACAATTTATCCATTCAAACTCAGGAGTACATTTTAGCTTCCTTCTGGCAATATAAGAACGCATTTCTATGTCTGAAACCAGATTTATTGCATAACTGTGCTGCACTGTCTTGTTACTGACAATAAGTGAACATTCATCAAATAAAATTTCTGTAAGATGACAAAAAAGCACATATTCTCAAGTAACCATTTCCTGGGTAAAGATGTTTTATTATTTTAGGGTTTATTCAACAACTTATAGGCTTATTGGCCAACTCTTCTGTCAAAGGCATTAAGGCTAGATATTGGAAGAGACAGAAGAATGAATAAAGACCAAAATTTGCTGTCATAAAGTTCACACTTTCTAAAAAATACATTATGGAAATGTTGACTCAGACATGATAAAGCAACGTTTCCATTTCATGGATTATTATTCCCAGGATGCCCTACTGCCCAGCAGAAAACATACTCAAAGGTGGTGCAGTGAGTTCAGCTTTTCCAGGACACCCATATCCCATATCAGAGGGTCAGCTGGAGTCCCAGCTCCTCTGCTTCTGATCCAGCTTCCTGCTACTGCATCTGGGAATTTAGGAGATGATGGCCCAAGGACTGGGTCACTACCACATATGTGAGAGACCTGGATGGAACTTCAGGTTCTTGGCTTCATCCTGGCTGGCCCAGCAGTAGCTTTTATAGACATTTGGGGAGTGAACCAGTAAATGGAAGATGGATCTCTCTCTCTTTCTCTGGCTCGCTCTCTTTCTCACTCATTCACTTTGGCTTTCAAATAAATGAAATAAAAAAAAAAAAAACACTTGGCAAAGGAACGAGTTCTTTGGCATTACTTCTAAATATTTCTTCTCTACAGGAAATCAGTACAAATACTAAAAAGTATGTCTTCCAGTGATATAATCATTCAAGTCATCTTGCTTTAAGACCTGGCAATAAAACACCTCTGTTGAATCTGAGATGGAAGGCCATGTACTTTAAATTGCTCTATAAGCTGATGAGGAAAAACTTAGCCAAAAACATGTGCATTTTTATGGTACCTTTCTCTTGTGACCATCATGTGTACCTGGGATATATCCAGGCAGGAAATTAAGAAAAAAACCCCACTCAATTTGAGCATCTCTATAAACTCGGCTATTTCACATCCTTTGAGTGAACTTAAGGGGAGACACTGTTTTCCTCTACGATACAATGAAGAAAACAAGGGTCTGTCCCCAGCTGGAATTCTATCCAGGGCTGACTGCCTCCACAGCGCCCAATTCTCATACCAAACATTTCAGTCAACAGTCCTGGGGTATACATGAATCTGGAACAAAAGCTTGCACTTGTCCATACCACGTTTGCTAAGCTGACCATTCGTGAAAACAAGACAGTGAGATGGGTAGTTCCAAAATCACATCTAAAGTCAAGATTATTCAATATTCAGTCCATGTCTGCTAAGCTAGCAGTGATAATGTTTATCTCATTTTATGCTTCCTAATGACTATCATACACTTCCTTGCTTGGTGTCAGTGTGACAAATCCCTCATTGCCTTTTGCATTAATCATCCCTTTGGTTGAGTGACTCAAACTCTCACTCAGTAGACAATTATAGGATTATTTTATGGAAAACAGACACTGAAACATTATAATGAAATTTCAATTATTTTCACTCTCCTTGTTGAGACATATTTCTGAATTCCTTTTCTTTTTACAAAATCAAACTTATTTTTCTTGCAACATTTCTTTCTTGACTTAATTATTTCTTTGACCATCCAACTTACTTCAAAAAACTATCAGACAATAAATCAAGTATGTTTTATTTCACCCAGTTTTTCCTTTCCTATGTATTTTTTTTATAAAGATTAGATTGCCTCTCAGTGGGGGAAAAATTTAGGTGTGATTTCCCTACGGATTGGAAATGAATTAGATGGCCCCTTAGCTTTTAATTATGATCCCGTGACTTTTATGAACTCTTGCTCCTTTTGTTCCAGGTTCTTCCCATGACAACAACAGCAACACCAGCCAGAGCTCTCAGAATCAGGGCTGCTCTGACCTCCCAAGTGCACTCCCCAATGTGGGCAGCAGCTGGTCAATGCTGCCCTGAAGTCTGTGAGTTAACCCCAACCTCCCAACATCAGATCAGACTCTGGCCTCATAAAAGCTCAGAGCAACATCAAAGCCATTATAAAAGAAAAGAGGGAAAACACATCCAGAAACTCTCTGAACACATATTATTTTAGGATTCGGCCACGACTTTCCCTATGAGGCACTCAGCCAGTTAAACATACATCTAACACAACAAATCCCACTAGCTTAGCAATTCACACATCTGGATTTTAGACTCCTCTTATGATGACTTTCTTATATTTAAAGGCACTTCAAGCTGCAAATTCTAGCACTGTTCTTGTTTGGTTAATTTTTCCCATGGTGACCATAAGTTGAACTCACCTCCAACATGAAGGCCTAGAGATATTAGGGTATGTTTGCACATGCCTGTATTTGCTGGAGCTTAAAGAAGCAATAAACCTCCAGTTCTCTTCCTACATCAGAAGGATCTCGGAATTCAGCTCTCAAGCCTTATTTCCCCGAGAGAGAGAGAGAGAGAGAGAATATCTGAATCCTGGTGTGCAATCTTTCTGAGTTGGTAAATGATGTTTGGAATGGCCTAATGGAAATCACGTGAGAAGCACATTGTACTTGTAAAAATAGCCTAGAGAGAATGTAATGCTTGCTTAATTATCCAGATGTGTAAAAACACAAGAAACTGGACTTAAAGGAACTTGTAATTGTGTACTCCGTGTGCATTCTCCCTTCTTACATGTTTCAACAACAGTCGACATACTGTACCACTGCCCTCTGGTTACTTTTAAGAGAAGAAAAAATATTTCCTATCTAAAAATCAAGCTTCAATCAGCTCCTCCAGAAAGAAAAAAAAAAGTGTCAGAGAATAATATTATAATGGAAACAATGTCCTCTTACAGAAATTTCACATATGTTCATAGTTACTATTGTTTAAACTACTCTCAGTGGGCTACATTTCTTACTGAAGTTTAATAGAAAAAAAGTCAATGCAATTATACTGATTCTCCTCCTTGCTTCTAGGAACACTTCACACACACACACACACACACACACACAATTTCGAACTTTACTAGCAAAATGCAACAACTTCTGAAATGAGATGCACCTAACAAAGTTTGCCCAATCGCAGGCCTTACTCCCCAGCCTCTGCGTGGCAGAAAACGGGGGTCGTCCGTTTCAGGAATGGCAGATGGAGGCCCTGCAGGTCCCTCTTAGCCCCTTGCCCTGCTCTGTCCTACTCAGCAGCCATCTGGCTAAAATGATGCCTCTTTGAAAGACCCACTGCTGGCCTGGTGGCCACTCCTCCTCCTCCACATCTCCAAGAGGAAACAAGGTGGGCTACCCTTGGGAAAGAGTCTTACCCATCCTCGGCCTTCAGCTCTCCATGCAAGCACCTTGCTAGAGCCAGAACGGAAGGAGTAAGAGAAGCTGAGTGCCTGGAGGGGAACTTCACGCACAGGCTGGACACTCAAGGCAAGCACCCCATGCTGGTGAAAATCCTTAGTGTAACGCAGTGAAACACCAGCAAGCACGGAAGAGGACAGGATTAGACTAGGGTGAGCTGGATTTCTTCCAGCCTTGGGTCTCACTTCCTCGCTACCATTAGTTTCTCTGAGGAGAGATGTGTGGTCCTAAAACGGTCAGTTGAGAAAAGTAATGAATGAGGAAAGCCGTGTTGTGGTAATCGCTACAATTTCCTAGACATTTCTAGACCATGTGTCATCTAATTTCAAGACCACATTGCTGCGTTTTTTTTTTAAAGGCTTCTAACAAGAATAGGACTTTATCAAAGCATCTACTTCTCTTAAATATGAGCTTAAAATGAAACTTGCAAACTGTACAGGCACAGACACAAAGCCAATGTGTTTTGATCTGTAGCCAACTTGTAGTCACATAAACTCAGACAAAGGTACGTGCTGCCTTCCAAATGATATATTGTCTTTAGCACCGAGAGGATGCTTCTGTTTAAAAAAAAAATCTATTTGTGACAGGCAGAGGTGAACAAATGTACCCTTAGCCCACTAATCTGACCTCAGTGCCAATTTGGAGAAAACCCAGTTTGAAGCCAGGTGACTCAATTAGATGAATAAACCCCTTTGTCTCAAAGCCAGACTGCAGCAAATTTGACTTTTAAATAAGGAGTATGAACCCACTGGGTCACAGTCAACGAACGAAGTCCTTTGTTTGCTCACTGTAGATAGAATTCATAAGGTTGAAGCTGCATAATGGGTTCAACTTAGCATTTCCTGTCCCCAACCTGGACATCTCATTTGATCAAGCACTGCTTATGTCTCTGGGTTCCTTGGTCCAGCATGGTAGCTCCCTTCAGACAAGCTTATAATGACTTCTCATCTACTCCTATTCTTTCCTATGCAACTAAAGAATCCATAAATACTTATTGCTTTGATTTGGAAACACAACCCAAGAGCCAGAGACCCAACTTGCAAACATTTCCATA